TAGAGAGGAAATGTTAGCATGTTCTGGAGAGTTAAGTTCAGATTGTGGGAATCCTGGGAAAACAGGCAGGGACACATTGAATGAGTCAGGTAAAAGAAAATCTCTACACTTCTGAGCAAGGATCCTCTTCCCAAGTTACTATCTGATCACTCTATGAGTGATCTCAGGGCCAGAATGTTGGCTCATAAACGGGAATTTTTCACTCATGGTGCTCCAGCTCCTATCTTTCTTCATGGGCCACACTCTTGGGAGAGTCCTTCCTATTGCCACTTTATCACAGATGCTGATGGAGGGATGTTGGTAGCTTTTAGTCCATTTCTTTGGGCGGGAAAATACATCATGCCCCAAGTTCTGTTCTTCAGTGGATTGCACTGTATCATTACATTAGTTTCAGCATGAGTAGACTTTCAGAGCTATATCTATGATGTTAATAGTGGAAATGCTATTATTCATATGAGTTGTCAAGAGCTGCTGTCACAAAGTCCCACAAGTTTGGTGACTTAAAGAAATGTATCATCCCAAAGTTGGAGTCTGAGATGAAGGTGTTAGCAAAGTTGGTCCCTTCTGAAGGACATAGGGTGATCAGTCCCTGGCTTTCTTCATGGCTTTTGGTTTAAGGGCAAGGCTTGGCCTTCTGTAGTGTAGCAACCCCTCGTCATGGCATCTGCCACCATGTTCCCATGACTTCTTCCTCTGTGTCCTCACTGTCTTCCTTTTGTGCATTTCTGCTTTTAAATTCTCCATTTTTAAAAGATACTAGCCATATTGGGTTATGGTACACTCTGATACACCATTTTAACTTGATGGCTGCTATAAATATGCTGTTTTAGAGCATAAATGGCATTAATGGATATTCTGAGTGGCTGGGACTTGGACCTTAAACATAACTGTTCAAGAGAAAAAAATTTAACCCTTAGATTTAATCCTATTGGTTCTTAAACATTTATGTTCTTCCCACATGGAAAATAGATTTGTTGACCCTAACATCTAAAATATTAATCATTCCATCATCAATTCTGAGTTCAAAAGCCTGTCTCAACATCAGCAACTCAAAGTCTCTGAAGTCATCACAGCATCCCCTTCACCCACGAATCTGTGAGATCAGATCCAAAATAGTGGAACAGCACAGATCATTTGTAAGGAAGAAATTGGGAGGCAGTTAGGAACCATAGGCCTCGAGAAAGTTCAACACCTAGGAGGGAAATTTTCATTAAGTCTTAAGGTTTGAGAATAACTCTGTGGGGCTGGGGCTGCATTTCTACTTGTGGTCCCAAGGCGCAGCAGCAAATGGAAAACAGACTGTGCCTCAAGCTTTTCTTAGGAGCATTCAAACTCCATGTCTGAGTTCATTGTCTCCAAGTCCTATTTTTCTACCAGATGGAGCACAATACAGCTCAGTTTTCTGCCTTTTTATGAATTGGATCCTTTTCCAAAAGCATTTATCTTCATTTCCATGTTAAACACCAGAAACACCTTTCACATTCATCTTCCTAGCAGCATTCTATCCATTACAATATACCTACCATTCCAAGAGACAGACCCTTTGTCTGAAGATCTTTTCTTTCCCTTCTGAGCCCCCACCAGAATCTCCTCTAATTTTCATGTTTCCATAGAAACAGATAAGGACAAGGAACCAGACAGAACAGAAATGTAGGGAGCACCTGGCCAAGGGAACAGACAGTAAGACTGAGACGGGCCAGGTTGATGCAATGATGAAGTAACAGAAGGCCAGGGTTTCTGGAGTTAGGTAGCAGGAAAAGATGGATCCTGGTGGGCTTGAATAATATGGTACACTTTTATTCTAATCACATTGCACATCCACTGGATTTTTTAAAAAATTATAGGAAAATAAATATAACATAAAATTATGAACTTAACCAATTTTTGTGTGATTCAGTGGCATTAAGGACCTTAACTTCACTGTACCCTCCTCACCACCATTCATCTATAAAATCATTTTTTTTTTTTTTTTTGTATTACCAGGGATCAAACTTGAGACCTTGTGTTTGCCAGGCAGGTACTTATGCTGCTGAGCTATCTCCTTGGCCCACAGAATCCTTCATTTGCAATAAAAAAAAAAAAAATCAGGCTCCGTATGCATTAAACAACACTGACCATTCCTCCCTCGCCCAGCATCAGAGGGTGCTGGAATTGGAACTGGGAATTTAACTCAGGTCTTTTGCACTGAACTGCAACTTCAGCTCTTTTTATTTTATTTTATTGTATATTTTATTTTTTAACTTTGAGGCAGGGTCTCACCGCTAGTGTGCCCAAGGTGGGCTCAACCTTTTGATCCTCCTGCCTCAGCAGCCCACAGTGCTGAGATTACAGACACGCGTGACCACGACCTTCAGTATTGCTGCACTAAAGATTTTTTGAGCAGGGTAATAAGATGTGTTTTACATTTTAAAAGATATGACTTCAGTGCACACCTGTAATCCCAGTACCCTGGAGGCTAAGGCAGGAGGATCACTGTGAGTTTAAGGCCAGCGTGGGCTACCTAGTGAGTTCAAAGGCTAGTCTAAGCTACATAATGAGGCCCTGTCTCAAAATAAAACAAAACATAAAATGAGACTATGAATCCATTTGATAATAAAGAGAAAATATTGTTAGGCCAGAGAAGAAAGACCAGTGGGAATCAGACAGGGAATACTGCAAATGAGAAACAGTGATGGACCGACTGCTGTGTTAGAAAAGAATGGATTTGGGAGATAAATCAGACAGGATCAGATGACAGATTGTCGCAGGTATGGAAGAGAACGTGCCTTCTCTTTTGGGCATGTTAAGTCATATATTTTCTTTGCCACATAGGGAGAGATGGCACCCACATGGGTGTTTAAATCTAGAGCTCAGGAAAAAAGACTGGCATACCTTTGAGAGCCAGGGAAAAGTGGGTGGTGTTTAAAGCCACAGAAATGGATGACATAACCCAGGAAGATAATTTAGATAGAGGCCCAGGAACAATCCCTCCTATAGATGTCTGGTTGAGGAAAAGAGGGCTGATCGATGTTTGCCGATGTTTCTTTGGGAGCCTTGTACTGCAGGAACTTGGATTTGGGCTCGAAGAATCCAAGGTATCAGTTTTAAATCCCATCATAACTGGTATTGACTAGGCCTGGGGAGGAAAAAGGGGCAGTCTTCCCGGCTAACCCGAGTCTGCACTTGTAGCATCTAAGAGAGCTCTGGGCTAGGGAAGTCGGAGAAATTGTTCAAAATTTGAAAACAATGATTTCTGTTCTGAGAAACACATTATATGAAAGGCTACACGCCTGCTTGTGTTCATCGCAGCACAATTTATAACAGCTAGATCTTGAAAACTGTGCATGTGGGCCGGGGAGATGGCTCAGTAGAATAAGTGCTTCCCTAGCAAGCGCAAGGGTCTGAGTTCAATCCCCGGTTCCACCAAAAAAAAAAAAAAAGAAAACTGTGCATGCCCCTCAATGGGTGAATGGATAGGGAAAGTACGTTATTTATATACAATGCCATAAAGAAGGATAACCATGAGGTATTTGCAGGCGAACGGATGCACCTTGAGACCATAAAGTGAAATAAGTCAGACACAAGCTTAAATGTAGCATGATTTCTCCTATTCAAGAAACTCAAAATGTATACATGGGTAAATAAAAAAGAGAAATAGGAAGTAGGGTGATGTTCAAATAATTCTTCAAATTCTCTATTTTATTGTATTTCAATATGCAAGCTAATTTTCATCTATACTACTAGTATCTCTTACTTTATTACAAAGAAAGAATTGTGTTGTCTGCTTGTTTCTTTTTTCTTAAGAGATAGTCTTTTTCATCTATGATTTGTACTATAAGTAACATTTTGGCCATTCTTTCAGGATTATGGTACACAGCATATTGTTTGTCTTTATTTTGTCATGAAATTTTATTTTATTTTTTCACAGATGTAAGAACAGTGCTTATATTTTCTTTATTAATATCTACATGTATTATATTAAAATACAAAACAAAATATTTATTTATTTGTTAGTTTATTTATTTTTAATTCGGTTGTTGCAGGGTCTCTCTATGCAGCTGGGCCTGGTGGTGATCCTTCTGCTTTCGGCCTCCCCAGTGTTGGGATTACAGGCGTGCCCCAACACACCCAGACTCTGGCCAGCTTGGCCTGCCCTGGGGGCGGGGCTGGCGGGGCACATGGTGGCAGGGATCCAACCGCAGGTCCTGAGCTTCCCTAAGCTTCCCTAAGCAGGCCTGTTAGTCTGCTGAGCTGTCTTGCTGGCCCCTAAACAATGTACTTAACTAATGAAGGAGGAGGCAAATATTTCATTATAGAAAACCTTTGAACATCTGTTGTCTTTCCATCAGTGACTGAAGTTAAACATCTTATTTTCTCCGTTGGAGATACAGTTTCACCACATCATATTTTAATCACTACTTTATTGCTCATACAATATGTAAGTGGACTAAAAATAAGTTCAAAAATTATGCCTTTTTGTGTATGTGAATTTTTTTTTTTTTCATTTTGAAATAGGGTCTTGTTATAAGTTGTCCAGGAGGGACTCCCAGTTGCAATCCTCTGTCAACCTCTCTCCATGCTGAACTTGCAAGCATGTGCTACGTGCCTGGCTCTACATATATATTTTTTGAAAATCAATTTTACAACATGGACGTGTTCTAGCTTGAGCAAGTCAGACCTTTTTTTCCCATTGGTCACTAAAACTTGACTCATGAGGAGGATTCTAAGTAATGAATGTGGAAATGTTGAGTGACGTTTCACTTGTGCTTTGAGGCTTTAGTAGTCTATGATTTGCTAATTACGTGAAAATCTCTCACCCCTTTGTTCGAGAAAATAATTCTGTTTTTTTGCATGTGTTCCTCTTTGCCATACTCAAACATTTGGGAAATGGAAATAGGGAAGCAGTTGAGTTCTTAAAAAACTATAGATGAATGGAACAGTAACTGCAAAACTAGCAAAATATAACAGGAACTGTTGATCTTGAACATTATTGCTTTTGCTTATTTTTTCTCCCTTGCTAGGAGGCCTGTTCTGACGATGTGTGTAGTACTCACTACACTCCCCAGCTTCAGCTTTTCTATAGCAGTGACTGAGGTATGGAATTTCGATTTCTTCTGCTGCAAAGTTTTGAGGTTCTGGAATTTTCTATGATTGGAATTTGACGACAATGTGCCAAATAAATTTCTTGAAATTTATTGAACCCAATTTTCTTCCAAATTGCAGTATGTGTATCTAAAGTACCTATATTGTTAGCTCTGTGGTTGTCAAGACGCACATCAAAAATTTTTTTAAATTCATTACTCTTGTCTTTATGTGTATAAGATGGGGATGTTATTTCAAAGTAAGAGAATAAAAAATTCAAAAGTTGATCTACATTTGTTCCTTCTACGAACTTGATGATTTTCATGATTGTCCTCAGTTCTAATGGAATGTAGCAATAGCCAAAAGAACAACCTCTTGAACTTTAAGTTCACTGATATCAACTGACAAATTCCTTTCAGTTGACAGCTCTTGGAAAACTACTTCATGCTTTGATTAAATATGGCTTTCAAAGGAGTCTAGAGTATGTCCGCAGGGTCACAGTTTTATAAGCAAAGTTAATAGGCTGTGAAAACTTTATTATCCAAGAAGGTCAGAGAAGAATGCTCTATTAATTTGATTAATTTGCAAAGTGTTGAGAAATAACAAAAGCTCTCCAAGAGCTTTAAAAATTCAATTTACAACCTCTCAAGGAATAATGAGGGTACATGGAGTTTGATAACTCTTTTTGGTTCTTTTCAGTGATAGCGCCTCCCATCTTATATCTTTTCCTTCCTCTTCTGCTTAGTTTTTCTATTAAGCTTTTCACTGAAGTGTATCCCACCAGCAGCAGCATGCACAAAGCATAGGTCGGTGGAGCACCAAAGAGCAAGCCCTGTGCAAATGCTCCTTACGCCAAAAACTACAAATTGGCCAGATCTACCTATGGCTCCTCGCAGTGACTGCCTTCTCCTCCTTCGCAAAGGGAACTTGACCACAGAACAGCTTGCCTGCTTTTTACTATTTCTGCAGCAGTAATCAAATTTTACATATGAATATATGTATATGTATGTGGTGTAATTTATGGCTGACTTATTCAAAAGTATGTGAGCTTATGTTAGGTGTCTGTATATAGTTTAGTTCACTCATCCTCATTTCTTGAGTGTTTCATTTTATGGGATAACACTATTTATTTATTTAACATATGGAATTGAGATCAAATTCAGGACTTCAGCAATGCTAAACACGTACTCTTCCATTGAGCTACACCCCCTGCCTGATATCACAATTTGTTGATTCTATTCTTGATCTGCATTTCAATTTATTCCATTTCGGGCCATTACAGATAATGCCACCCTTGGAATGTATTGCTTTTGCATATCTGCATGCATTTCACTTGAGTAAATACTTAGCAGTAGATTTGATAGGTTGGAAGATATTCAAATGTTCCATTGTAATAGTTTTCCATTGAGTTTACAAAGAGATTATTCTCTTTTCTTTAGTAGGAATCCACTAGCAGAGAATGAATGTTTCTGTCTCTCCTCATCCTGGCCAGCACTTGCATTGTATGTCTCTATTCTAAGTTGCTGTGTTCCTGAATCTCACTGTAGTCTTAAATTTCATTTCCTCCATAAGCAGTGAGGTTGAGCACCTTTTTGTCCTGCTCATTTTCCTACTGGATTGCTTATATTTTAAAAATGAATTTGAATGTGTTATCTCTGCATTACAGTCCCTTCTTTGGCTATGTGTATTTCTGACATCTCCACATTCTGTAGCTTATCATCATATTCTTCCTGGTATCATTTAGTGAACAGAAAATATTAACTTAACAGTAGTTGCATTTATCAATTTCTTCTGTTTGTGAACATGACTTCTGGCCCTTTATTTGGGAAAATGTTATATTGTGAGTCTGAACCTCAAAATCTTAAAGATATTCCCCCTTCTCATACTTTGGAGGGACATTGTTTTTCTAGTCTCTGTTAGAGCCACAGTACATCTGGATCTGATGCTTGTCTATGCGGTGTAGTTGAGACTCAAGTTTTACAAAGAACACTCAGCAGACACGGTACCATTTAGTGGGAAAGTCTGTCCTGTCCATGCCTCCGGAGGCTTGCCTTCACTGTAAGTCATTTGTGAACCTATGTGATTTGTGTCTGAGCTTCTGTTCTGCTCCTTTGCCTACCTTTCTATTCCTATATTAGGACACACCACACTGTCTCAATTTTTGTAACTTCGTAATGGTTCTGTGTGACTAGAAGAGCACATTCTCATCTCTTTCTCTTCTTGCAAAGTTCTTTGTCACCTGAGCCTGCTATTCTATTTTTGTATGCAATACCTAAGCCCTCTCTTTAATTGAAAACTATCCCACTTAGATGAACCCTTATTGCATCTTAAGAAATGGTCGATTACCTTGAGACATTTACAATCTGAGAAGCTGAAAAACCGTGTTTTTAATTTTTTAGTTAATGGACTTATAATTAACAGCACTGCTTGCAAAATATTGAAAAAATTTTGAGTGAAGTAAGTACAGGAATTTAATGAGTCCAAATGGTTTTCTAAAAACAGGTGCAAAAGAACACCAATGGATCCATTGATTTATTACCTGATTCTTTACCAGACCTGCCTGTGTCTCTTGTTCTGCTGTCCTTGATTGTGGTTGACATTATTGAAAAGCTCAGGATATATCCCCTTAGAGGGAGGGAAAAGAGTAAGTATTCTTTTAAAAACAATTATTTTAAAGTTTGGTGAGACTTTCACTTTTCTGCCACTCTGTTATTTGATAATGTTTAATAACACTGTATATTCTCTTAGAGATAACAATACTGATGGAAGATTGACAATGAAGCTATCTAAACATAGCTATTTTTAAACCTATTTTGATAGTTGTTCTTATTTTTAGCTTCATTTTGGTGGCTCCGATGAGTTAATAAAACTATCAAATATTTAATAGCAAAAATTTAATGTTTGGTGAAAGAATCACCCAAGTAAATTATGTATATTTATACTTTTGTGGGAGCTCTCTTAAATCTTTAAGTTTAGGTGATTACAATGATACCGCAGTTACCTTTGTTACAGGTAGCATACTTTGAATATTATAGTCGTATCCTAGAGAATTATATGAATTTAATTGTGGATTATAAAACACCCAAAGATTGCACTAATAAAACCATGATAGGTCATATACCTCCAAAGTGGT